GTATGGATTTATGACACGTTACGGACTTTAATTTGTTCCCAATGAGACATTGAGACTAGTTCCTTGTGCATCATAGATGACAGAATCTACTTTAGAGAGGCAAAGAATCACATTGAAGTAAAAATTTGTCAGTTTTTTAAGTTATCTAAAATTTTGCATTCAGTAAGCTATAGCTGTTATTATTAAAAGTGTCAACATTGATTATTCCCATATATTAAGGTTTTAGAGGAGTTTACAGGGTATGTAATAAATGAATAAATAACCTGTCTTTCCATTCTTTAGATAAAATACAGACTTCCATTCAAGGTCAGTTTTAATAACAAGAGTTACCATGAACTACAGCTTAGTTCCTCAAATCCCTGTATCACTCCTGCATACTAAGTTGTAGCTGAGATTTTAGAATTCACATGTATATAAATCAGAAGAGTTATGTAGTATTTAATTCTATTCAGAGCTAAGCTTTATATGCTTCATATTGTCCAGCAAAATATCTACTTAAAAATCCCTCATTTCGGGGCTGGCCCAGTGGTGTAGTGGTTAAGTTCTCGCGCTCTGCTTTGGCGGCCTGGGGTTCGCAGGTTTGGATCCCGGGTGCGGACCAGCGCACCGCTTATCAAGCCATGCTGTGGCAGGCATCCCACATATAATATAGAGGAAGATGGGCACAGATGTTAGCTCAGCAAAATCTTCCTCAGCAAAAAGAGGAGGATTGGCAACAGACGTTAGCTCAGGGCTAACCTTCCTCACCAAAAAAAAAAAAAAAAAAATCCCCCATTTAGAGTGAATGCCAAGTGTCTAAAACCATTGCCCTGGAGCATGTCACTGTCTCACAAAGCAAAGTTTCTCCGTATTGTTTCTGAATTTTATTTCAGACAAAACCTCAAGGTGGCAGACATAAGAAATCTTGGCAAACTTGTTCAGTGTGTCACTTGAAACCCCTGATTAACCAGTAACCTGGCACCCTCATCCTTCCAGAACATAAGCACCACCCAGAAAATAAGCTTTATAAATCTGTAAGTAGAGATGAAATTAGCTATCCCTGAGACCCTCCGTGCTACTTCATAATGGAATGGAAGGGTTAAACAGGCCTTTAGTCATCAATAACCCCTGGAGGTGCCATTTAGATAAACACGAATTCTAGTAATTCACATTCATAGGTAATCACTTAAAATCTTTACACAGTGTTCAAGAATAGAAGTGTGCAAGACATTTCAGAAAGGATGTCATTAAAAACAATTACATTTTTTTAAAAAAGATTCAGTACTGAAAGAGATTCATTGCATTTACATAGGACATTTATATTCCCCAATAGATGAAGCACTACTGAACTTCTTTCAACGAAGACATTAGAGTGTCGAATTCATTTAATAGGCCTTTTTCTAACAGTGAGCAAAATGGACTCTGTGCGCTCCTGGATCATATGTTGCATTGAGGGGGACAGAAAGTGAACAAAGAAAAATCAGTATGTATAGATATGAGGTTGTGAAAAGCACTGCGGAGAACAGTGAATCAGAATACAGGGGCTGGAGAGTGCTGAGGTCTGCACTGTGGCCTGCTGTTCCCCAGAGCGGCGAGGGAAGGCCTCATTGACTCAATATTCTTAAAAACTAATATTTAGAAGATGACATTTTCTGGAAGATTTCAGGAAAGAGTTAGGAGCAAATATTAAAATTAGCTAAAAATTGTCAAAATTTAGAGAAATAGAGAAACCATATTCTCAGTGATCTCTTATTCTTAGGTATAGCGGAAAGAAAGTCAGGAATAAAGTATACAGAACTAGAAAATACAATTTATTTGTTAAACAAGAGTTATTGAATAGGTCAGAGGTTATTAACACATTTCAAATAAGACTGTAGTGTGTGCTTTGTTTGTGTAAGCTGAAAACTATTATGAAAAAAGGAATAAAATAAATAGGAGTCACAAAGTAGCCACTTTACTTCTAAAAATGATACTTATTCCATAGGTTTCTCCAGTCAAGGGATAAGTCTTCAGTCCTCGTTGTGTCCCATGCACTACATTGGACTTGGAGACCAGAGGGATGAATTTGACCAGTGCCTGTCCTGGGGAGCTCAGGCAGTTAGAAGCAGACACGTGCATGTAGATACAGAATGGAGATATAGAAGCACGCACAGCTAAGCCAGGCTTCCTGAGCAGCAGGCAGGTGAGTGGGACCTGAACAGATTGTTAGGAGGAGTAGGAAAGCTAAGGATATTCTGGGCAGAAGACATGGCCCATGTATGAGCACCCACCATGTTCAGAAAATGGTGAGAAGATGGATGCGACTGGATGTTTCTGTACAAGGAGAAGTGATGGGATGTGAAGCTGCAGGTGTTAAGAATGGACAAGGAATGGCTTGGGAGAGCATGACAAGAAGTTTGGAATAAAATCTGGGACTTGCTGGAACCACAATCTAACTGACACAGAAGTGGGGCATAAAGTTGTTTCCATGTAATAATTACTGGAGAAATCAGAGATGTTTTATATATTAATTTAATGGATTAAATATTATTCTATTCTTTCTTTTCTATTCCTTTCTAGAGGAAATGTTCCAAGTAACAGAACATAAACACAATAATTAAAAATATGTATTTTTAAAGATGATAAGACCAAATGCTGGCAACAGTAAAAGAATGAATGGCTACTCTCAATGTCTGACAAAAATTAGTACAATGAGTAAATTTGTACAATTAAACAATATGAGAGGATATCCGATCAAGTGCAAAACCGTGCAGAGTCATCAATATGTGAACAGCTGCAGAGTCACAGAGATGAGAGGGCTGAGGACGCCGCAGGAGGCGTCATGAAGGAGGTGGTAAAGGGAGCCTCTGAGGAGTGGGAAGTGTGAGCAAAAGAACGATGGCGTCATCATTTTAGGCAAGAGGACAGAGGTGACAGGAAGAGTGGGGGTGGCGAGTCCGTGGAGCAGCAAGCCTCTTGGCTGGACCTCGGAGTGAGCAGATTAGAAGGCAACGGGAATGAGACAGGGTAGCTCAGGGCAAAACGGGAAATCCCGGAAGATGGCCTGACTTGATGTGTGCAGCAGCTGCAGGGAAACGGACCAAGGAGAAATGAGAGCGAGCGGATTTAAGGCAGATTAGTAGTCGGGCAGCGGGCAGGCAGGGTGGATTTGAGCATGCGCGGTGTGGTTGCGGAGAGCGCGCTACCATTTGTTGAACGATCTGTGTCCCACACTGTACTGTATGCGTATAGGGGTTATCTCACTTGATCCTCACAGCTGACTCCCGCATTAATTAATATTACTGTCATTTGACTCTCCAGATGAGGAAACAGGCCTAGGGAACAAACTTGCTCAGAGTCAGGCAGCAGATAAGTGAAGTGGGCCCTCGACTCCAGGCCTGAGGAGCCGCCAGCCCATGGCCTCTCCTCTCCAGAGCGGCGCCCAGCGTGCACAAGATGTTAGCCATAATAAGGTCATAAGGATAAAATGTGGAGTGAACTTCCTGCTCTCCAATCTATTTATATTTTATATTTTACAAGTTAACTAAGAAAATTGAAAGGTCCGTAATCCCATCAATTTAAAACACCAAACAGCTCCGTTTTACATAGCCACCTTCACAGCATCAATACCATTTGTTTTAGTGTTATTTCAACAGAAATTTCATATTTATTGTTTAATGACTGAATAACATTTCACTGATTTGATCTACCACAATATAGTAAACTACGTTTTTCAGGTTAGGGTCTATTATAGAAAATCTTGCAATGAATAGTTCCTTGCAAAGATATTTTTGCTTCTCTTCCAGCAAAAGTCCCCCAGAACAACTTAAAAGATCAAATGGTATGAACATCTTTATGCCTCTTGCACACATTGCTGTGTAGCCAAAAGGCTTGTGCTAATTTACAATTCAAACCACAAGAAAACCAATTTCTCCACATAATTCTAGCTGTACTAGGTATTTCTTTAATCTTTAGTACGTGTCAATTGATAATTCAAAGTCACTGCAGTTTTTATTTTTCAAACTTTCCACCAAAGATGAACATTTTTTCGTGTATTTATTCATTCGTTGTTTCTCCTTGTGTAGATTTTTTGCCCTCAGTCTATTAAAGTCTTGATGTTTTCCTGTCTCGTTTCTTTTTCTCTCTTGTATCGCTCTTTCTGTGCACTCAGAAAAGAAGAAACTGAATTAAAATTGTGCCTCTAGCTGTGTTTATTATTTGGGCTTTTTTCCACCCTTTTACAGAAAGACTTAAAAGAAATTACTGATGCCTTTGTTTATAAACCTCACCTGACTCTGAAATAATTGCCGCAGATCAGAGGAAGCGGAGGGATAGTGCCGAGTGATCAGCTGATAACCATTTCTCCTTTCCTTTACCTAGCACAACAGCTTTCACATTAGAGAGATCACACACGAGGATTATTTTCTCCTGATGGGAAGCCAACTCCATTTTAGTGGGAAGGGGGGAGGAGAAAGCCTTATCTTCAGAGTAGAATGGAATCAATGAAAAGAGCTGTCTGTTTGCTCTAAGGAATGGAGTGGAACATAGTGGGGAAGGGAGGCGGAGAAGGGATATTTGTTTTTTCTTAAGTGGTTATAATTAAAGCCTTCCACCCAGTTGCTCAGTGAACCAGAAAAAGGTATTTGTGGAGTTGTGTGTGTCTTTAACTTCACAAATGAGCCTGACAGCCTTTTCTATAGACAAACTTGCTCTCCAGCGGCACCTTGTGGGCAGTGAGTCATCCAGCAACTTGGATGCTTGATTTTACGATTAAACCAAACTGCTTCTGGTAGTGGTGCACTCCTTCCCCTTCACCCCCTTCTTCTCCTAAAGATTTTGTGAAGATTATATCAGCTATTGTATTTCTATATAACAGTCGCTGAGCAGTAGGCTGTATCTCGTTGTACGTATTCTAGATTTGTTTGTCAAACCAAGTAGCTATAGTTATTCTTAATGTTGCATCATTAAAGTAGCCTGTGGAATTTTTAAGGTCACTCATTCAAGAAAGCACTAACTTGGGGCTTTAAATTTTTGTTTTCCAGGTGGAAACAAGTTAACCAAGCAGCATTTTCGTCTGAATTGGGCATGGATCTCCTTTGAAAAGGAATATTACCTGATCAACGAGGACTCCAAATTTCTAGATGTCGTTCTGAAACGTAGAGGCTACTTGGGAGAGACGTCATTTATAAGTAAGTTTAATTTGCATGTCTGTCTCAAAATCTCATTTTTCTAGCAAAAGTTCATAATTTTACAATGATTAAAATATGTTGAGCTTACTGCTCTAGTTTTAAAGTTTAGGGAGATGTTATCATTTAAAGGTTCTTTAACTGCTGAAGAAACATGCCAGAAGTTTTGTGTCAAGGCTAAGTCATAGAGACAAAAGGCTGCAAAAATAGGAAATGTGTAACCAATATATATATCTCTTCAAACCTTCTACCAACATATGATCTTTCTCTGATATAAAATAACTTTACAAAAATGGCAGTAATCACTTATAAGTTAAAAATTTTTAAATGTCATTAGATCTTAGACTAGGGTTAGGCAAATCTATAATTTATCCATAAAAGTCTGCTGAAATAGTGTAAAACTTTTGTGAAAGCTACTTTAATAATAAGTAAAGAAAAAACTATTCAGTAACATATTAGGCACTGAAGTGTAATTTACTATGTTTGTTGCATTGAATGCTCTGGTGGGTCACGAAAAGTTTCAAGAACCTCAACACTAGACAAAAGGCATGTGTTGTGACTGTTTTTCGTAACCAACAGTCAAGTGTTAAATACTAATCCTTTTCTTTTTTGATTAAGAGTCAAAAGCAACTGAATAAAATGTTTTTTCAACTCCAGTTCAAGCTCACGTTCAATTTCATATAAGCATGAGAGAGAGAAAAGAAGGTATAGTGGTAATTTTAAGCAGTGATATAGTTGGCACAAAATATTTGGTATGTTGATGGAAAATGAAAGCACCCCAAGCAATTTTATTTTTGGTACCGTATGTTTTATACACATAAATATAATATGGGCTAATAGAACTTTCATGGAGTAAAAGAGTTTTCATTGAGGGAGAGTGTCAACTTAAGTAGGAATCTAGAAAAATGTTGGCAAAAAAAGTTGGAAGCCCTGTTTGTCTTCAAAATGATTATATGAAATTTTACTGGTCTATGACATTTAAAAGCCTTAAACAGTAGATCCCTATCAACACATACACACAAGAACATGCACACACACACATACCAAACACACACCACACACCATACCTTTGCCACAGCCACAATCACCGCCTGCCCCCCACGATTTCCCCTGTTGTTTGGATGCTGGATAATAATTACCCCTTACTTCAAAAATGCTTTTTGTTTTTTAACTTTAGAAGAGGAGTTTTCACACTATGTTCTGCCTATTCCTCGAGGTTACTTTGGCTCCAGGGGGGCTGGTCCACCTGTAGACCCATCCTGCATGCAGCTGGGGCAGCTCTGGTTCCATCTTTTTTTTTTTAATTTTATTGAAGTCATATTGGCTTATAACATTGTATAATTTCAGGTGTACATTATTATATATGTTTCTTTTTTTTTTTT